TACTAAATATAAAACAAATGTAATAGAAAAATTTATAATTTTGTATGAAAAGCATTTTAACATTTTTAAACATTGACAAACAATTATTGAAGTTTGCCTAATAGGACGCATAAATGGACAAAATGTTTTAGTTTCCATTTAGAGGTATTGCGATCCAACCGAATTTTTAAAAGGAATGGTATAATAACACTGCCTTTACTGTATATACAAAGACAGACTTTTGGACACATCTGGGGTATTACTATAGCTGCTCTTCTTAATGCTGGGTTGGCCCGGCATGGCCAGGTGGTTAGGAAGCGGGTTCGAATTCCCGTCCCACCAAACATGCTCGCCCTTTTAGCCGTAGGGACGTTATAATGTGGCGGTCATTCCCACTATTCGTTGGTAAAGAAGAAGCCCAAGAGTTGGCGGTGGGTGGTGATGCCTAGCTGTCTTCCCGCTAGTCTTTCACTGCTAAATTAGGGACGGATAGCACAGATAGCCCTCGTGTAGCTTTGCGCGAAATTCAAACCAGCCAATTACCTTCATGCTGGAATGTTAAAATTCTTATGTTTTCGATCATATCTACACCCTTCATTCACATTACAAGCAGCAACTTCATATGAACCGTCAACAAATGATACAATTACTATGTTTTTAGTTCTTCTTCTCCTTGTTGTGGAAGCAAAACATAATGTAAACAAATTAGGGGCGTAAATGCGATCTGGATTAAAAGAGAGAATGACGTTAGTGCTTATAAGTGGATGCAAAAATAGTAGTCTGGTGGCCAAAACTTAAATATCCATGTTGCAGTCTCATCTGATGGTGTAGATTAAAACCTCATTTTAGTCAGGATTTGTTTTTCATTTTAAAATCATGCAACATATGGCATACATTAACAGAAGAAGAAAAAAACAGTCAGAAACTATTGTGTGTGTATGTAAAAAAGAATAATACATTTTCTTTAAATTCAAGTTTTTTGCTTTTTGAAAACTGTTACCAAAACGAAAAATAGTGACCCGATCAAAACAATTTGCAAAACAGCCAAGTTAGAATCATTCATACAATGGTCTGATGTAAGAGAGTCCAGTTATATAAAACGCAAAGATGTAATGCAAAAGTGTGTTAGTTAAACAAAAAATAATTGGGGGGAATCTGGCCCCTTTTTATATTAATGTTGTTACTTGTTCTAGTTGCAATAAAAAAAGGAAGCCAAGTATTCCTAACTCTGTTTTTGTTTAACTTACCCAATTTTAAATTCTATCTTTACAGGTTGCTATTTTATACAACTTGGCTCTTTTTATGATATCACTTCTTTATATGACATAAAATCTGTGGTTTGATTCCCCGCGGTGGATACAGCAAATAGCTCATTGTGGTTTAACACTAAAACAAACACAACAACAAAGCTTTATATGACAGACCATTTTTATTCTAACTTTACTATTTTGTTCGTGTAAAATGTTTTGTTTCGATCGTTTTATATTGAAGCTGAAATTATATTGAAAATTAGCATATAATTTGATCATGTAAGCATAAAATACATAATATGCTTTTCACAAACCATTGTTGTATTCATTGAATAATTTGATTATCATATTGCTTGGTAATTTCCATAATTAACGTGTTGTCTAACTTCCATAATTGTCCTCCTGGCGAGGAATATCCACGATTATCTTATGTTCAGTAACTTCTAGCGCTGTCGCGTAGCCCAGCAAAATCCGTGATTGAAAGAATAAAAGCCACTGATGTGACTTTTCGTAGAGTAGATGAGTACATGTGATAACGCACATCATCTCAGAACGAAGAGACTAGAGACAATGTTGTTTTTGTTTTCACCCTGGAAAACTAACATTCCTGTAGTGACGGAGATGGATTAAAGTGTTTGTAGAGCAATCTGTTGAAACGAAAATAAGCAGAATTGTTATTGCAAGTCTAAAAAAAAAATTACTGTGACATGTAGATAGGGGAACCATCTTCTGTTACAAATCTTATACAATACATAGTGAAAGTGGAACAAACTAGCTGTAAAATAAAGTTGTCGAATAATAAACAAGAAACTGTAAATTTACAGACATAAATAAGTAAATATTATTCATGAACTGGTAATAGTAAATAGAAAAAAGGTAAGGATTAATAGCAATAATGATGATAATATATACTATAAATATATAAAAATAGGACACAATTAACTAAATAAAAGCAAAGTAATAAAATAGATATGATGTGTATTTCAAGTAACTTTTTTGAGTTAATTTAGCAATATGAATAGCCCAACTATAAAAGAGCCAAATGGCTCAATAGTTTTGTTTATTCAAGTGTTGATTTCATGGCTTATATTTGTAGTGTTTCTTTACAAATAAATTCTATATTTTAAAATTGAAAGGAAATGCATTTAGTTTAAGTTTTAAGTAAACTTGAACAACTCGATTTTCAACATCTACATATCTACATGAGCCAATGTTTCCATTTATGAACGTTATATTTTAATATCTGTACAAGAAATCAGCTAACATACCAAGCCCCCCAGTGGCACAGCGGCATGTCCGCGGACTTACAACGCTAGAAACCGGGTTTCGATACCCGTGGTAGGCAGAGCACAGATAGCCCATTGTGTAGCTTTGTGCTTAACTTCAAACAAACAAATAAACCGTATATCAAAGCTATCTTCAAGTTTTGTAAAACGAAAAACCTTTTCAAGGATTCTGAGAGGATTAATAAAATGTATTTTCACAAATCCTTTAATAGTTAAACTTGTATTCCCAATAAGCAGAAGCCAATGAAATTCAAAAGTACGATTTCAAATTTTGACATTTGTTATCATCTACCATTCAATACGACGTTCAAACAGGCTGTTGTACAGAGATCGCTGAAAGAAATAATATAGAGGAATATAAACATTCGCAAATTGAATTTCGTATTTATTGTAGACCAAATGACGTAAATAAAATATGAAAACCTACCAATCTTTCTAACTTCTTAATTCCATACTGAAGCTATTGTTGTCGTTTGCTTTTCATAAACATTTTAACATTAAAGCGCTTTTACAAGTCATTCGTTTATAATATTCCAAAATGATTATGAAACATAACTTGTTTTATTACTACTTTTTTAAATTAAGTAAACAGTGATAATTTTTCTTAACTTTTTCCTGTTACTAATATTTTTCTAATGCTTTTTCTGACATTATTGCAATATTTTCAATAAGGCTTTCTTCTGTAATATATTGAAACATTATTGTTGCCTTTTATTTCATTGAATGAACATGCAGTATTTTGTGTGTAAAGACTCAGGGTAAACTGTTGTCAGATTTCCATACCGGAAAACATATTTTGCTCCGAATAATATAAATAAAAAGTTTTTGTTTGTTTCCATATTGCAGTCCTTTTGGATAACCCCATACGTTTTAGTGGCACAGACGTTTGTACTCTGTTCTCAGGAATGATTCTTTATTAGTTGTTGAAAGAGAAAAATACCTTATCTGTAAGTTAGGTAGCACTAATAATGACTCGGATGCTGACCACTCAGCCAAATGTAATAGCGTTCTTATGACCTAGAAACTCCTTAGCTTATGGTGTCACTCGCGCTCCGGTGTTCATTAGATAAAGTGGTAACTACTCGTCTGATGTCTCTCTTTCACTAGATTCTCGGTCACGGATATAAAGTTTCACGCTTCTACTTTGTTTTTGTTTTTATTATAATGTTAAGTTGTGCCTTTATCTTCAGTTACCTATATTTTAGAACATTGGAGTTGAGTATGCACACTTACTTGCTTGTATTTTTACCTACTTCGAATGTTATTTCCATAACACTAATGCAAAAATTTTCAGATAGCCCTATATGTAATGTTGCGCTTAAATAAAAACTTTACATGACGCAGAAAAGAACACAAATATAGGTAATATACTCGACCATTGTATTTTTACTCTACCCACGAGACTACTTGATAGTTAACATAATTAATACAACAACAAATTGTTTTGATCAAGCGAGAAGAATTGTCAATTTGGTTTTAACTCAGAAATATATTACACAGAAAGTGACCCTCCGAATCCTGCTCTCGTATTAACATTGTGTTCAGACCTCGATAAATCGCATCGTCACTAGTGGTTGGAACATTCAAGTATGACATTTAAAATAATGACAATTGGTTTAAGAGTGATAAACATGTGTGTTACTTATTAGATATGGAGTAAAATGTATTCATTCAATGTTAATATTAAAAAGATGATTAAGTTTTTAAACAATCACTCAAGTTTTCCATTTGACAATCCCTGTGAATTGTGATCATACTGCCATCTGTCGAGCATTCGCAACATCTTTTCCATGTAGGAGTAGCTCGGATAATGAATTATTACTTGATTTTTGTTACTGTTTTCTTCCCTTTTAAAACATATGGCAGACATGATTTATTCTGTTAGATCTTTTTCAATGCTATTGTTGATAATACATAATACTTTTAATTTATCAGCGTATCTGTTAAAACTCGTTTATGATTGTAAAATTTCAAATCCATAATATTAACCCTAGAACTGCCAAATAATTTCATCGATTTTAATCAAGTGTCTAGACCATTTATACTCATTGTTACCTGTGATTCCTAATAGTATTTGATCACACACACAACACACAACCAATAAATATCAATAATACAATTAATTGCACTAATTATCCCGGATCTTCTCTATGTTTTACATAGAAAATGAGTGATTTCACCCAATATTTTTATCTAGTTTTTACAGTGAGTGTTGTAACAGGCAAAAACCATAAGATTACTCAGTATATAAACCATACTAGTATAGAATGATATTTTTAAAAAAAAACATTTAACGTATTCTTAGAGCAGTAATAAATTTGTTTATCAGCATACTAAATCTAATTAATTTAAGATTGTACTTATGTTACAAGTGTTTTTTTTTATATTATTTATTTATGAACCTTATCTACAACTTATTTATTTTGCGTCGATTTGCGATGTATCTTTTTATTTTAATTCCCCACTTTTATTCTAAATCCTTTAGGTAAAATACTCAATAGCGGTACTGGTTAACAAGACAGAAGCCTTGAGAGATCCCCAACTGAATATTCCTAGTCAAGGTTTAGTGCCGGAGGAACAAAAGGGTGAGTTTGCGCAACAAAAAGTCTTCTTTCAAGTTCATGTTTTTAAACTTGCTAAACAACTACATGCAGGACGCTTTTACGCAGAAAGCATATCAAAAATATTCACTATTGCGAGGAAATTGATTTTATTTATAGGAATTTTCTTCATAAAGACAAAACTAAAAAGGATTAATTGTAGTTTATAAGAACGATTTACATGTGCTGATGCAGTGGAGCGTTGCTGCAGTTTTGAACCATACCACTATTGTATGAGTTACATTTTTAACACTTGCACCTGTTTCAAGACGAATTTGAATATTCTACGAAGCAATACTGTTACTATAGTCTTATGGCTGGAGAACTACTTACTCGCAACCTGAATGGAGGAAGAGTATAATTACAATGGATTTGTTAAACAATAGAGAAATGTAGAGCCAAAGGACAAATAACACACAATATTTTGAAAAGGGGACCTTTCCATGTTCGTGTAGGAACTGAAAAACACCCGCACAGTTAAGCATTTAAAACAGGCTTCGAAACTATACCCAAAACCAAATCAAGGCAACGTTTTCATCTACAAGGTGAAGGCTTTAGCTATGAAAGCAACAAAAATTTTGATCTAAAATCTCATTGTGATAAAACGTATCTCTCAATACCGTAAGTAAAATAATGAACAGGGATTTTTAAGTTGACAGAAAGCTCACGAGCCAAATGTTTACAACCTTCGAACTTTACTTCGAAATCAACGGCTGTTTAAAGAGAGAAATGGCCAAACAAACATAAATCATAACAATTTCATTTTATTACATGCCTAACAACTATCGATGGAGCTATAGTACAGTGGACTTTTTAGTTTCTTAGCTTTCGATCTGCTTAAAGTTAAACATACTTTTAGAAATCGCCGATACATAATAAAGGATCTGTGGAAAGTTCGTCAAAATATATAACTTAAAACTTACCTCGCAGAAGCTTCTTACAATGGAAACTACGATGTCTCGTAATAATGCGTAATTATGACCATCATACTGAATGTGATCAACGATGGAAGAAGGAGTCAAAGGGAGCACTGGACAAGAAACATTGTTCTTTTAATGTGAGGTTAACCATTAACAATTTGACCGTATATTTCAATAAATCGATTCAGTTAAAGTATTGTAAGTTGTTGTTTTTTCTATGTAGGTGAAAAATTATGAGTTTTGTTTTGTTTTTCAAATAAAGATAGTTTTTCTTCATTTGTTTTAATTATCTCAAGGCTAAATGAATATCCAAGCAACCAGTCTACTCAAACTCTTTAGAATTTTTAATAACTGAATTGCCCCATATCTTGTACTTTTTTCTACTTGACTTTGATGTAAAACAATTTTAAGTTTTTAATTTGCCAGTAACAAATAATTTATTGTTTAATATTAAAATATTTATTTTCATTTATGGCGTAAGAATTGTCAAGTGATAATTTGTAAACAATGAAAAGTTGAGTACTGAGAAATTTTATTTGTTAATGGTATCTAGTATAAAGAATAAAGCTTGGATACATTTCAATAAACTTAACAGGTGAGTTATTGTCTTTAAGATTAACATACTACTTACAGAGAGCAGAGCTCAAAAGTTAACCCTGTTATAAACTTATCTAATTTAATATACCATTCTATTTCTAAATAAAACTAAATTTTCTAATGATTAGAATGCACTGATTGATCAGTTGGATACCCTTGCTGTTAATGCTATTGTTACGTATCTGCTCGTTTGTTAATTTCAGGTATAAATTCTATCCGAGGAACTTCGGTGAAACAAGTTCTTTCTTAATTAAAACTAGTTTATTCTTCCTCGATACAACTTTGTAATACACAGAATTTCCAATCAGTACCTTACACTTAACTACTTTTATAACACACGCTATAAATCACAGTGATTCACACACTTTACTTACGTTGCCTACTGTTCGCTTGACTCAATTATATATCTCTTCAATCTATCTATTTCTGCAAACTATCTGCCCATCTATCTATCTATATCTCTTCAATCTATCTCTATCGCTGGCTTTCTTTGCCAGGCTTATATACTAAAAAAGAAGGCGTCTAGCAAACACTGGTACATTCACGGGGTTCCCCGATAATTCTAGAAACTCCAGTGCGCATGCTCCCAGCGTCATGCGACTTCCGCTGTCGTAACACTATTTTCCAATAATATTTCACGCGATAGGTTAGGCCAGCTAAGGAGACTTAGGATAATACTAAATTAATAATACAAATATTCATAATAATAAAAATTATAAAAAAAAGAAAATAATTACCGTATTTTTCGGAATA